ACCAGCTCAGAGCACATCTATGCGTATTTACACATCCTTCAACTGTTCCACCTATGGGGTGGGCAGAATATATTGATGGCAGGAGCCGGCCGGCGTTTATACAAACGTACATCTCCCAGGAGGCCAGGTTTGGAAAGGGTCAAATGAAGAAAGTAATGATCTAGATTCTCAGCGCTCACGTGGTAGACGCCGCCGCCGCCGCCGACCACCTTGTACGTACAACAGAGGGTCCTTCAGTGTAATTTACAAGGTGACAGCTACCAAACTATCCAAAAACTGCTTGGGCAGAGCTTCTTGGCTAGGGCAGAGGCGGCTGCAATCAGGCTACGAGGAGCGGACCGGTGCTGTGCACCCAGAAGAATTTCCTAGAGGTTGCGCCCACAGTTGGCATGGGTCAAAGCCACTAGGCCAGCCAACCAACACCCCACCCGGCCGCACGCACGCACGCCCGCCCGCCCGCCCGCCAGCATGTAATAAACTTCGCCGCCGCCTTGACCCACCTTCTCGCTGACTCTGACTGCAATTGTGCTCTTTCACTCTCCCCCTCCCCTCCACTCCCCTCCCCTCCCACCTCCAATCCCCACGTACAGCTTAATTATCCACCTGCCCCCCCTATCGCCTTTTCATTCATTACATCTTCAATAGTAGCCATACAGGCCTAAAGAAATTTATCCAGGCCAGACCTATGCTCGCCAAATTGCCTTTTGAATCCTACAATGGCCAATTTGCAACTCTAAAACAGTCCAAATATGCCGCGGTGTTGCTGAAGGCACTCAATGGCGGGGGTACTTGGGTTCAGCAGCAGCACCACCAAGCTTGTGCAGGCGAAAGTACAAGTCAGGTTGTTTATTAAGGGATGCCTCCTCCTGGAGGGAATGATGAGTACCCCATCTCCTACTGGAGATGAATGCGACGGAGTGAGTCGTAGGGTTATCACCACCTCCTGTGATAGGCCTGTGAGAAGATAGGCCGAAAATGAAGTAGAGAGCAGGCGTGTTGTAAAGCAGGTGGAAGAGCTGGAGCGTCAGGTATGTCAACAGGCAGCCATGGTGGAAGAAATTGGCGAAGACGACCGACTGATAGTGGATAGATAAATGCTGGCGAGCCAACTGTTAAATAGACGCCGCCGCCTAAGTCAAGCTGTATTAGCAAGGACCATTAGAGTAGCTGACACCCAGCATTCCCATTCTACTCTCCAGGGAGGGGGCAAGGAAAATCTACCAGCGGAGTGCACATCTATGCAACGTATTTACACATACTTCAACTGTTCCACCTGTGGGGTGGGCAGAATATATTGATGGCAGGAACCGGCCGGCGTTCATCCAAAAGAACATCTCCCAGCAGGCCAGGCTTTCAAATGGTCAAATAAAGAAAGCAATGAGCTAGATCCTCGCGCGCTCACGTGGCAGACGCCGACGCAGACCACCGTGTACGTAGACGAGAGGGTCCTTCAGAGTAATTTACACGGTGCCAGCCATCAAACTATCCAAAAACTGCTTGGGCAGCGCTTCTTGGCTAGGGTAGACGCGGCTGCAATCAGGCTACACGGAGCGGACCGGTGCTATGCGCCCAGAAGAATTTCCTACAGGTTGCTCCCACATTTGGCATGGCTCAAAGCCACTAAGCCATCCAACCACCCACCCAAACGGCCGCACGCACGCCAGCACGCACGCCCGCCCGCCTGCCCGCCCCGTGTAATAACCTTCGCCGCCTTGACCCACCTTCTCGCTGACTATGACTGCAATTGTGCTCTTTCACTCTCCCCCTCCCCTCCCCTCCCCTCCCCTCCCACCTCCAATCCCCACGTACAGCTTAATTATCCACCTGCCAGTATCGCATTTTCATTCATTACATCTTCAATAGTAGCCATATAGGCCTAAAGAAGAGAATTTATCCAGGCCAGACCTATGCTCGACAAATTGCCTTTTGAATCGTACAATGGGAAATTTGCAACTCTAAAACAGTCCAAATATGCCGCGGTGTTGTTGAAGGCACTCAATGGGGGTACCTAGGGTTCAGCAGCAGCACCACCAAGCTTGTGCAGGCGAAAGTACCAGTCAGGTTGTTTATTAAGGGATGCCTCCTCCTGGAGGGAATGATGAGTACCCCATCTCCTACTGGAGATGAATGCGACGGAGTGAGTCGTACGGTTATCACCAGCTCCTGTGATAGGCCTGTGAGAAGATAGGCCGAAAATGAATTAGAGAGCACGCGTGTTGTAAAGCAGGTGGAAGAGCTGGAGCGTCAGGTATGTCAACAGGCAGCCATGGTGGAAGAAATTGGCGAAGACGACCGACTGGTAGTGGATAAATCCTGGCAAGCCAACTGTTAAAAAGACGCCGC